CCACCCCGACCTTCACCACAACACCGATACTGCAAGACTTTTATAGTTAAACCAGCCCAACTTTCCTTTAACGTCCGACTAGTTTTCCCTACCATAAACGCATGTGCTACCTCTGCTTTGGAAAGTCGGCCTTCGGCGTACAAGGCTCGACGTTCCAAGCCGCGCCCACTTCTGGTTGGTTATACTGTGACGCATTGCAGGCGGCGTGCAAACGGTTTGCCTACTCGCACGGCGCCATGGCCTAAGGCGCCGCGGTGAGGGTCGGTAGGCAAGCCCGCCGAGCACCCATGCATGCGGTAAGTATAACCAACTAGAAGGGGCCCGGCTTACAACACCTACCACCCAACCTTGCAGTTTCTTGACGAAAACTCCCATGTGTCAAAATTTCTTCACATTCATTGTCTTGAAATTATTGGACGTTGAGTTACTTACAATCACACGCGCATGCGCGCGCACACGCCCGCACGGCACCGCACGGCACACACACTGCCGTGCGAACTGGCCGCGCGCATACGCCCGGAAGTGGTGGAGTCAAAGGCCCCCGTCGACACGCCGCTAGGCCCCGCTAGGCGCCCCCGCAGCGGGGGAGCGGCCCGCAGCCGCAGCCTCTGACGTGCATCTCGCCTTTGTGCAGCACCTCCGCTAACGCTCGCGTGTCGCGGCCCGGCTGGCGCTAGCTGGCGCTGACGGCGTGCTCTGTCCGGTCCGGAAGGACGCCGCGCCGAGAGCGTCATCACCTCGGCGATGACGAGAGCTGGGCCTGGCCTCGATCGAAATAAAACTCGCGCCAGGTTCCCGTCAAAGGGGCGCGAACTGTCTCAATTTAGTTCCTGGTGGTCGGAATGACCCGATTATGAGGGACACTCTTACAGCGGCAGAAAGCCGAATGTAAGTCGACCGTCTCCCTGATTCTGCCTAATCCTCTCTTGGACTCGGTCAGTTTGGTCACCACGTCAATTCCTTTTCCTTTTCTCGCTTTGATTTTCCAATCCCCTTATGTCGGCCGCCCGGCGGACTGTGTGGCGGACGAGCCCGGAAATAGTCGCGAATATGGGGTTTTTAAAATGATGATGTCAAACACGACAGCAAGGTCAATTGTGAGCGAAAACGGATTATGTCGGTCACAATGCTGACTCACACACACCATACCCCCGCACTAAGGGGCTGGGGGGCTAGTCCCACCAAGGAGGCCACCTCTGTTGCCCTTTCCAGATGGAGGAAACTCTTCCGGTCGCCCGATGTGGCACTTTCCTTGCATCCCGCTTGGACACTGTTGTATTTTTTGTGCGTTGTTGTGGCCACTCCGATTGTAAATGTACAAGCACTCCGCATCGACTTGAAATCGACTGACGACTAACAAGGGAACCTTTTCAGGTGTAAATCTCCGATTTCGTTGAAACTTGGAAAATTTGAAGGTTATTTATGTAGAAATCGGATGGCACTTGAAACTTTTCCTAAACCTGACATTCAGTTTTCCCCTATAAAAGGTAGGAGTAGGGTGTTAGAAAAAAATATTTTTTGAAAAATGTAGAGCAGTGTTCTTAGGGGTAACTCGTCAAAGTAGCGCCCTTTGGGCCAAAATTTTGTCCGTTTTGCTCTATTTTGAACCGTTAAAGCGGTAGAGGGATATTTGGGGCAAAAAACAGTGTCAGGCTTAAGTAAACCCCTGGTAAATGTTAAGTTTAGGAAAAATTTCAAGTGCCATCCGACTTCTATTATGATAACCTTTAAATTTTCGGAGTACCAACGAAATCGGAGATTTACACCTGAAAAGGTTCCCTTGTAAGGAGCTTGGTGGGCAGTACACCTTTTGAAAATTTCACAAATAACAAAATATATCGTACACATGTTCGGAACATATTTTTTCACCGTGGAACAGCGCTCCGTCGGAATGCTCCAGCATTGTTGTACATGGTTGCTCATTTTCATAAAATATGAAACACACCCTCCGCGCCGCATTTTCCTGCAGTACAACATCGCGGTGATGCTCTGGCCCGGCGCCAAGCGCACACCACGGCGCGAGGAGCCACCACGGGCACTCTCTTGTCGTCGGCGGCGGAGTGAGTGAGGGGGACGCTCGTTGGACGTCTCCTTCCTGGCAGTATTGAGCATCAGGCGTTCACCGCGCGCCTCTTGCACCTCCTCGCCACCCTGGAGAAGCTGACGGACCACACCGCAGAACCAAAAGGAGAACAGAACAGAGCGCGAGGAAGAATGTGTGTGAGGATTAGCGACACAGAGTCGACCCGACTCAGGTCGGACGACGGGCACCGGACATCCCTTGGAGTGGACCTGCGCGGTTCCGGCCGAGCCGAGCCGAGACACGTGTCACACGTGTGCCGTGCAGACGGACACAATGCGGAGCAAAGGCGAGGCGTTTATGTTCAATTACCAGTCTATTAGCCGGGGGATTAGCAGCCTGCCTCTTCTTCGTGTGTGGGACTCCGCCCCCCCCCCCTCTCTCTCTCTCTCTCTCTCTCTCT